CGGAGCCCTGTTGCACAGGTTTCCCTTACAGCAGTTGGTCACCAAGCTGTAGGTGACGCCCATGTAGGCAACAGGTTGCTCTTTGCCACAGTTGATGGAGCGGGTACACCCCTTGTTCAGGATGTCTGAAACCCCCAAGGCAACTCCTTCACCCACAAAGCAGTCTTCGTCTTCGGCGCAGCTCATCCTGAGGCCAGGACATATTGTGGAGGAAGTAATTTCGCAAAAGATACAGTCCTTGGAGACAGTGGAAGGCAGCAAGCAAACCAAGATGCATACCAGGCTAAATTGCAAAGAGCACTTCATCGCAACTCAGGGGAGATGGCGCTTCAGCAGTGTGGACTCTTTATTGCTTAAGAGTGGTTACCAGCTAATTTCCTTTTTGTAATGCTGGCATCCCCACGAGCTTGCTAAAGGTTGTGGCTTCAGAGACTTCAGAAGTAGTTCAACTTTTCCAGCTTTCAATCAAAATGTCCAGAGGAAAAATATTTGATTGATGGTATTATGTTTCTGTTCTGCTTTTTACAGCTTCTCTTCATACGGCTTCAACAGGAGATTGCAGTAACTCATCTCTAATATTCTGAGTTGCTTATATCTGGGAAGTCTGCCCAGCATATAATGGCAACTAATCAACAGAAGATATTTGGCTTTAGAAATAAACCAGGATGCCTTGATCTGCACTTCTCAAAGAGCAAGAGTAGTATTTTTATTTATTAGGGGGGAACTAGACTTATGCACTCTCTAGTTCCAGAAATTCAAAGTAAATTTCCACTTTGCTCCTTGGCTAACCTCCAGCAGTGATTTATAAAACCCACCAGATACAGAAGAAAATTTTGGACTGGTACAGGAACTTCCCAGGCACTTAATGTCAACTGGTCTTTCTTGAGGTTGATTTTTTATTTAAAGCTACAGAACCGGATCCCAGCTTTTGGCTCTACACTCTCACTATTATATTACACAGTGTTCAGCCTTGCTACTCTAACCCGCTGGAAAAGTAGAATGAATCTCCAGCAACTGCCTCCTAGAATCTGATAACCGCTTAAGCAATGACATCACAATGGGTGCCAAAAGCTACAGTATTTAGAGGCCTGGGTATAAGGCTACACGGTGACGTCACAGAGGAGTGATGTCAAATTACATGATATCATATAAGAAAGGAGCAGCACAACATATACTAGTATTCCCATAGGCAAAAGATTGGATGGAATTTCCTGGTGGGTGGAAGATGAAAAGGAGAGTCAACAGACAATTTCTGAATGCTTAGAAATGGTAGTATTTGAGATCTCAAGAAGAAGAATGGACAGGAAATTGGGAAGTGAAGCTGGGTTCCCTGAATCAAAGAAATGACTGACCAGAGGGTTACTTGGACTAATCTCATAATGGATTTCAATAGATCATGATCCATTTAGCACAGAGCTCTCTCCAATTCTGCCACCCATATTCACTCATCAACCACGAATGAAGGCAAATATATGTGTCCCAGGATAATGATATGAGATCGATTTTGGATCATTCACCAGGACCAGAGATTTACTCTTCTGATTGTAAGAACACAAGTGAGCAGTCAGACGAGGAGACCCAAACTCATCACATTGCAATGAATAAGGACACTCATTTAACTTTGCAATTACTAAGATCGTTGGCCATGCAGGTACAAAGATAGGCAGGGAAATGATTGAAGGTCCCTTTTCAGTTAAGAGGAGTGCTGATTTACCATCAGCTTATAAGGTGCTTAGGAGCCAAGGGCTTGGCAGCACAAGGAAACGACAGTCAATTGCCAGCCATCAACACACCCATCAGCCAATAGAAAGGCACCACATAAACACAACTCAAAGAACAACCCCAAGCACTTACTTCTCTAGAGAGAAGTTCCCTGAAGATGGGCTCCAATATGAGCCCGAAAACTCGGAAGCGTAAATCTGTAGTTCTGGTGACCAACCCAGATTTGATCTTGTGTCACTCATCAACCATCTAATTTCTGCTGCGGACAACTAAAAAGCGAACCAGGAAAGACCTCACCAGTTCCATCAAACTTTCCTTCCTCCAGGACTTGTATGACTCCCCAATGAGGGAGGCTTTCGATTAAAACAGCAGAGCTTTGAGCTCACATATGGGTTCTCATTCCCCCCCCCCTTTTTTTGGCATACCCAGAGGCACCTAATGTGTGTAAGGCAGGCTGAAATGGAAGACAGGCGGCGTTCTCTCGAATACCATGCTGTCAAAAGCATAACTTCCTGTATTTCTTATCCATTACGCATCTCATTAAAGCCAGAGAGATTCTTGCCTTTTGGGAAAGTGACAAAATAATCTGTCACTCAACTTGGCAGACTTCACTGTGAGTAGTTATGGAGAACAGGCAGATCAGTAGCAGAGCTTCCAGCGTAGAAACAGAATGAGAGACAGTCACTCCACTGGGTATGTGTGTGTGCGCACACAACAGTTCATACCTAATTCAAGGTTTTGGAAGCTCAAGAACAAGACATGCTCAGAAGGAGAAGCAAAACCCAAAGTCAAATCAAACCATCCCCTTAGGTAGAACTGACCCACCTGCGCAGTTCTTCTAGAAAAAGAACATTGGAACCATTGAAGAAGAGGCAGCTCGATCCTGCTTGCTAATTTTTGAATGTCCTGTTATTTATTACAAGTCCCTTTTCCATTAGCAAGCAACCGAATTAGTGTTTTTTTAACCCTGGTAACCTTAATTTTGGAAACTGACGTCTACACATCTTAAGACTCATAGAATAACAGAGTTGGAAGGGACCTTGGAAGTCATATAGTCCAACCCCCTGCTCGAGTAGGAGAGTCTATTCCAAATATTAAGCTCTACAGGTTGAAAAATATTTATCTATACAGACACTCAACTGTGTGATAATGAGTTAATGATAATGAGTTTTTTATCACTTCAATGTGGACTGAGTGATATTATGAAGATGCTTGAAATCACTAGGAGAGAGGTGGCCATTATTGGATCCTTGGTAATCATGTTACCTCAGTTCTTAAATTTCATGAATTATCCTGAACCTTCTCCATTCACCTGTACTTTCTGTAGTATCTTTGGAATGTTAGGTCCTAGTGGGTTGTTTCTCCTTACAGATTGACATGGGTAAAGAACTTCTGTTTGAAACCTTCATTCAAGCATCCTAGAGCTGTTCAGCATTTATGGTGTCCACTAATTTCCCCCCATAACTAATACTTGATTACAACATCTTGATGTTCCACAACCTCCTGCAAGGTCATCCAGCAGCCCCTAACCATGGTGCAAGATGCCCTGATATTGCTCTGGTCTCTTCCCCAGAACTCAGCTGAGAGAACTAAAGGTCACCCTCAATTCTCGCAGTTTCAAAGTAATGGCTTTCCTCTTCTTAATTTTTACCATGCGCACAATTTAGGATATTTCATCAATGATGTGGTGGCTAATACAATTAGACCTGGGATCTATTATTGATCACTTGTAGCTACTGTGGGCATGCTTTCTCCAGTCAAAGAGCATTGCTTTGTATGAGCTTTTGGCTTGGGGGTGTAGGAAAGAATGGGCACCTGACTTCTGCAAAAGGATCTGTCTTTTTTAATATCTATCTGTTTTTGCCTTGCATTAAAAAGATAAGGACAGCCACACATGCTCATCTCCTTCCTGAAGCAGGATGGGGCCTCAGCCATTGGATGATGCAATTTAGGCTGGAATATTTTTCTGATGATGCAGGCAGTAGGGAAAAGCATGTTAACATGAGCATATGGCTGGTCCATTTCTTTAGGTGTTTCCTGGCCCACTCACGGACGCTGGGGTGTATCAAGATAGTTCTATGGTGCTCTCAATGTTATCTCCCTGTGTCCAAAAACCTAGCATCTCAAAATCATAGTGGGAAGAAATATGGTAAGTGTATTTATACACGAGAAATGTAGGCAAATCCAATCATATATGTTTTTATAAAACTAAGATTCCACTCAGAATGGAAAACTGGTGTCCCTTTATTTGAGCCAATGTTTTTAGAGAAAGGCTGGTGAGCCTCTGCACCCTTCAGATGTGGCTGAATTCTAACTCCCATGACTTCAGAAACCTAACATATCTAGAGGGATACAGTCCCTTTACCCCTATTCCAATAAACCTTGGTGTACCATTCTGATATTATCTATCTCCAAACACAGTGCCATCCGGACAATCCCTTCACTGGGTTGATCCTAGGAGTTTGGATGAGGAAAATATAACCAAAGGCTGAGCAAAAGTGATGAAGATTGAAGAGGGTGGTTAGTTATGTCTTTGGCTAATATATGTTCTGCCCCAAGTGTCTTGTGTTATTTTCCATTATATCATAATTTATCATCCCATACCACGAAGAGCATCAATTTCCCCTTTGGTTTCATGGCCATAACCATCTTCATGGCAGCCAGCAGAATTTAAAATCATCTCATGCGTATCTGAGCCTGGAAGCAATTTGATCCAAGGAGATTCCCAGAGTTATCTGCATGGATCAACCAACCCAAGGAATCCTCTTTTGGAAAATGTAACCATTCAGCACGAACACCCCATTAGAGCAGAACTCCTTTTGAATTATCATTTTCTTCTATCACACACTATTCCTCACCAATTCCTACAACCAGTCTCTGTTTTGAGCTGTAAATATCTCAATTTGCATTTCTAGTGTCTTGTAATTAATCCCCTATAATTTGCTTTTCGATGAAGCAGTAAACTTACTTAGGTTTTTGAGAAACTTTGGAAAGTTACCAAATTAAGCTGCCTGTTAATTGAGAGTCACATACCTTCCCAAGAAAGAAGAATATTACACAGAGCTTAATGAGTGATCGGATTAATGCGGAGAAAAGCTTCACTTGCTGATTTCAAATACTCTTAAGGGCATAAGGCTGTTCTTGATCAAAAGCTGACATCCTCAGAGAGGCAGTTTGCAGATCTTGCAGCCATAAACTATTTATGATTTTGCCACTTTCTGGATCAGGATCCACAACAACTTCACTTATTGCACAGAAAAGCAAGGAAGAGCTCTTACCTATAGCTGCCGGTGATTGCAATTCGTCCATCAACCAGCAGAAATTTCTCCTTCAGGGTTCCTGTGACCTGTTTTTGGTTTCTGCTTTGGAATGTACAGCCACTAAGAATTCTGACTCGCAGGTTCTATGCAAGAGAACAGTACAAAAAGGCCTGTTTTATATATATATATATATATATGAGCAGAGTTGGTCAGTGACATTTCTTCTAGATCAATTCTAGGTCATTGGTTTTTATATATATATAAAAAAACCAATGACCTAGAATTGATCTAGAAGAAATGTCACTGACCAACTCTGCTCATCTAGAAAACAGTATCTTCTGAAAAGCTGCTCCAACTGACTGATTCACTATCAAAACACTGTACAAAGGTCACAATTAAAGATTTTGAAGACCTAGCACATGTACCCCCAAAGGGAGCGTTTTACCTCATATTGTTTTGCTTGAAAAAAAATGGTACCTTTAAAAAAAAATCAGTTATATTTTTCTATTGGCTGAGATACAAGAAAAGACCCATATTGTATGCACCACATATGTACAATTAAAATATGCAAATCATATTTATTTATTCTATTTGCATGTCCATCTTTTTTCAAGGTACTCAAGACTTTATTTATTTGGCTTATATGTGACTCCATTCTCAAGGATTCTGATTGGCTTATGACTAGTAAAACAAAATATATCATTCTCTCTTAATGTGAGACCCCTAGTAAGCCCTTCATACTAGATCTCACTGGGTGGGCAGATTTAACAATCTTGCTGTGGTCCCTTCATCTTTTTATTAGCACTATAACTTGATAAGGTAGTTTTAGCAATGGCTATCTAGTCAATTTTGTAGCCAAGCCAGGAATTGGATTGTCATCCAGTATGCTAGAGATTATTTTGAAAAAATACAAATTAACAAGCTTTGCAAATCCAATGAGAATAGAACAACTTTACATTTAAGATTAAAGGTAGTTACAGCTAGGAATTTGATGGTGATATAAATCCATTCTCAACTCCCCTACCTGTTTTGACCAGAGACCCTTCAATGTTTCAAACTATTTGCTCAGTAAAATTAATTCTAAAGATTCCGTTGACAAAATCTTGACCCTACATTCCGTCATTAATGTATGTGTATTGGGGGAGAGGGCATTTAAAAGCAAACCATATATTTAATTGAACTGATTCCATGCTGAGATTCTGCTTTCCAGGGAGTGCTGCTTAGAAACTGAAGTGTTCCTCTATTCACCTCTGTGTGATGGACATTAAGGCAAGTTTTCTCAGCCATGGAGAGGAAGGAGTGAAGATGCTGCTGACTGAGTATAAGATAAACTGGTATCCGCTGCCTGATTGCTGCATCGTACAGATCTAAGAGAATATCAGGATCTGTGAAAATGTCCATGACTATAGCAATCACCTAGAAAAGAAACAGTTTGCTTGTGAGACCAGCAAAGGGTTTGCAACCTTGATTTCCAAATTAAAATCTCCTTAAAATAACAGTAAAGTGGACCCGAATCCAGCTTGCAGAATTATATGACTCAAGAGTGGCCACATCAGGACATTGATAGAGGAGGTTTTAAAGAAGTCAATACTTTTGATTCAAACATCTTGATTTGTTTTTGCCAACACCTGTGGTACACGTACTTCTTTGCCAACACTCGTGGTACACGTACTTCACTTGATTTATATTTTATTGTGTGGGCTCAGAAATTTTTGGCTTTTGGCTTTGATTTCAACTTAAGAGAATATCCTTTTTCTAACTGACCCACAGGTGCCTTTTCAAAAGGCAAATGGACTTTGTTTTTCCAGAATTGAAAAAGCTTCTTGGATGAGAAGTAAAAAGTCTTCACAGAAAAACAAGGAAGTCCAGTTGCTGTTTGAAAAAGCAGGTTTGGGACAACCATAACCTGGATGACTGAGAATCTCCACAGACATTTTTGTAACTGACTTTCCTGGATAAGGTACAACCGTTATAGGCAGGTTCTATTATAGTCATAACTCAAGGACTATCTGTATATTATGGTTGTATCTTTTACTAGCTAGACTAATATATTAAATATAGTTTTAATTAATCAGAAGCCACCTCTAGTTATCAGACCAGTACATTTAAACATGCTAATATTTATACTTTTCAAAAGTGGAATTGGCAGACGTTATGTACTATCATGGTGTATTACCAAATATGATGTACAACAGTTTCTTCAAACAAAAACATACTTATGCTTCTAAACTATTATTTTACAGATATGCTGACTTACATTGCACATGGAAATTGACAATGCATTGCCTTTTTGAAAGGGAAGACAATTTAACGAAGATTTTTCTGTGGCAATAATATTGAAATATCTCCGTTTTGGGAATATGCTAGTTTCTGTGGAATAGCTTTGTTAAAACTCTCCACATATTTTCTCACTCTTTTTTTCCATCTTAAAGAGGAAAATGCCCAGTGCTACCTTTCCTTCATACCTTGCGGGCTTGTTGGATACAGCTGCGTACCAATTCCTTAATATGTGGTGCTCCTTCTCCTGGTGGGTGGGTATAGACCTCCGCTCGGGTAATTCCTTTCCAAGCCCCATTGTCTGGCCACCCTAGTTCCAGTTCTGGGGGTGGATCATCTGAATGCTGAGGCCAGTAGCTGAGACTAGATCCCTCTGTTCCAAAGCTGTAAGTCCCTGCTCCGCCTGAAGGGGGAGCTTGTAATTCTTCTGCTGTTGCTGCAGTCTTTAATTCCTGCAATTCACCCTCCGACAGAAAGGGGCGTAGCTTTTCACGGGAGAGGCACTGATTGAAAGCTTCCTCACCATTGGCAAGTAGAGCTTCAAGGGCCAACCGCTGTCGTTCACAATAATAAAATTCAGGATTTGATTCAGTTTCTTTACTGTATGGCTCTTCGCTCTCCACGCAGTGGATCTGGGATCCAGCCATGGTCTTTGACAACATAACATACAATTTTAAAGTGTCTATAGGATACCCCTCTTATTTTAGCAAGTTCCAGTCCTTTCTGCCAGTATTTGTGATGCTGGACAGGAGCAGCTCTTCCTGGTCTAGCCTTGAAATCTTAGAAAATTAATGTAAACAATTCCTTTAACAATTCCTTCCTTGTTCCTAATATTTTTCTAAACTCGTGAGAGGAAAACAGATTTCTCAAGTGCTTATTAATATTCTTTTACATTAGTAACAACAGCCTTGATTATATTAGTGTTCTATCTTTTAATCCTCCACCCTGATTCAAAAGATGTTAGATGGCCATCTGACCAGAAGAATACAGACTAGGCTGGTTAGCAATTAATCAAACAACAGAGAAATAGCTGTTTTTTTCCCACCTGAACAGGCTTCGTTTGGTGGAAAACAAAAGTAGAAGGAACAAAATAGGAAAAAGGAAGTTGAAGAGGGTAGAGGACCTTAGGTCCTATTTTATCCTATCAAGATCAAACAGTGTACTCTTTTAATCTCAAATCTCAATTCCAGTACCAGAGTAGAGAGAATTAACTGCTTAAACCCTTATTTTAATAATGACCTAGAGCACATGTTTTAATCTAGTCTATAAAGGTATCTAGGTGTGTTCCCACCTCCTATGGTGAAGGCAAGTGCTCTAAAACATGAAATAAATCCTGCATTAAAGACAAATCATCTGTAGTAGAAGCAAATGACAAAACCACAATATCTTCTTACACGTTAATTTAGATGTACAATTTGGCTGGGGCACTTCCTAAACAATTCTGTAGAAATCCAGAGTGTTTTCCCCGTAATCCCTTCTTTTGCAATTTCTATTCCTTCTCACTGATGGCTATGATGGAGGAATTCATTTAAACCCTGGATTTGGCTACACAAATCTCAAGTTACTGATCTCCTTCTAGATAGCTAACATCTGAAGGCTTCTGATGAGATTATGACATTGAAAGAGCTGGTTGAGCCAGTCTGTGTTTGTACATATGTAAAAAAAAATCATATATCTCCACAAAGTCCAAACATTCTTCCTAATAGTTTATCCTGAGTAGTAGTCCCGGTTTACTTTTTTTCAGGTGTTTTCACACTTGCAGTAAATAGCTCATTTACATTCGTGAAAACATATCAAAAAGCAAAAAAAAAAAAACTCAAAAAAAATTTTTTTTTCTGGACCCAAATGGGGCTAGATAAGAGTCAGAAATTACCTGCAACCAACCACCACCACCAACAAAAAATCTACACTCATTAATTACCGGGATATTTGTTATACTATGTGGTTGAATGAACAATTGAGAAATATATCTGGATTATTGTGTTTTCTTTCCTGAAGCAAATAAACAATGTTCAGTTCTTAGCTAAAGCAAATTTCTGAATTTTACATGCTTTCTTGAGTCATGTGAAACTCAGAAATCAGTCAGCAAACAGTGTTCCAATTTCAGATTATGGGAATTTGTTATATATTTGTCTTGACAGGTTAATCCACAATCTTTCCTTCTTTTAACTGATTAACAACGAGGGGTTGGCCCCATGTATCCAATCAAATTTCACACCTGTAACATCTGGACTGTCGGTATCGAAGTTTCTTCTTCAACTAGTTTTTAATTCTCTTGTTGTTTGGATGTTAAGATGGTTTCAAGAAAGCTGGTCTGATGTTCTTTCCCACTGTTATATAATCCCAGTCTAATGGTTGGGGGAGATGTTACATTTCTTCATTTATATACAAACAGAAGAAAAAAATCTCAGCAAGCAAAAACCACCAGTTTGTAGGATAGCCTCACACAGCTGCAAATATATTTACTTGAAAAAGCATCCGTTCTTCAGGTCACATCTCCTATGGTGTTCAGGAAGAGAAAATGGTTCAGTAAGATTTTTTCATTTTGGTATATTCTTAAGGGGAGTGCACAAAATAGTACTTTGCAAGAGGGATGGACCAACTGTGGCACCCCAGATATTGCTAGAATACAGTTCTCATTATATTCTCTGCCCATGCTGGCTGGAGACAATGGGAACTGAAATTCAGTATCTGGAGAGCCAAATATTACATATTTTTCAAGGTTGTGATTATCTTGAGAAATGGTCATTTTTCCTCAGTTCTTTTCTAACTGCAGCAAGTCAGGTAGAGGTAAGATTTTGGCCTATTCTGTTTGTTCTTACCTCACCTTTTATTATGACTGTAAATTTGAAGGCTTTGCAAAACTAGGGGAGAAAGGTTTGGTGATAAAAGCCATGGTCCCAGTTTCTCCTGGAAGGCCAGGAACACGCTATGGGAATTAGAAATAAGCCTATCTTTCCCCACATTTTTAGTCATGCTTTTCCAGGAATACCCTTACACCCCATTCTTTTAAAATGTCCTGTCCCTCTAAAAGGGCAGTTTGACCTAGTAGTTAACACACCAGGTTAAAAACCCAGAAGGCAGGCAGCGTCTAATCTGGCTTTAGGCCTGAATAATGTCTGGGTGACTTTTGACTTACCACCACAATTGAGCCCCAAAATTAATATTGCTAATATTGAAATATTTGTTAAGTAAAGTTGCCCCATTTAATGACTTCTCTTGCCACAATTATTAAGTGAATCATTGTAGTTGTTAAGTTAGTAACATGGATGTTAAATGAGTCTAATTTCCCTATTGGCTTTGTTTGTAGGAAGGTCCCAAAAAGGAGATCACATAACCACGACACTGCAATTGTCATAAATGTGAGTCAGTTGCCAAGCATCTGAATTTTCATCATGTGACCATGGGGATGCTACAACCAACATAAGTATGAAAAACAATCCTAAGTCACTTTTTAAAATGCTGTTGTAACTTTGAACGGCCACTAAATAAACTATTATAAATTGATAACTATTTGTAGTTACTTCTCTCTCTCTCTCTCTCTCTCTCTCTCTCTCTCTCTCTCTCCAACCATCCTCCCAGGGTTGTTGTTATAGTGGGAAAAAAAACAGGAGGAAAAAATATTAAATGTTTGACGCCTTGGGTTGTTTATAAAAACAATAAAGGCGTTTGCGTAAAAATGAATTAAAAATGGGGTATAATGGACAAATCTTACTCGTTCTCTGGGGGAATGTTTTCCTCCTCTTAAATGTGCAAAAACTCTTTCCGTGAAAGTGGAAAAACTGTGACAATTGATCCATACAAACCTCAATTAAGATGGCCAGATAAAAGCAGAAGTTACAGCCCCGTCTGTTGTTTGTAAAGTCACTAGCTGGAAGCCCTTTGTATAAATTCCTCCTGGGCACCATCTCCTTTACAACTAGCCAAATTTTACCTCAACTGTGCCCTCCAGACATCCCCTCCCTCTCCCACATCTACTACTTGCAGCTCCGTTATCAAAAGTGGAGGGAGAGGTGAGGGGCAGGTAGGAACGGCCAGCTTCTCACCACCTCCGCTGCCTGCTTCTTATTCATCTTCGCAAGCCCTGCTGAACGCTGCGTGTTTCATTTCCCCCAGTTCAGGAAGCCTAGCGACCCCTTGGAAAACCCGTCCTGACTCCGAAGCCCTACCTTTGAAGTCGTTTCTTTGGCTCAGGAGGAAGTTTGGGAGACCTGCTCTTCCCACCCACCTCCCCGTTGCGCTGCAGAACGCACACTCCACTCTGGTACTTTTGCAAACATACCTTCCTTCTTAAGAGTTCCGGGTATGAATCCTCTTTCGTTTCACCTGTTCCCCCGTTGCTTCAAACGAGAGGGGAGACTGGTGAACCCAGAGGCTGGGTTGGAAGGTTTGGGTCTCTCGGTTTCTCTGTCCTCCCCAATTAAAGTTTGGCGTGTTGGGAGAACTACTCCTTCCTTTGTGCCTGTAACCAGGCACTCCGCAGTCCATGCAACGCACTGATCCAGGAAGTCCAGGGCTTGCCTACAAATGCAGAGCACCTGTTTTGGAAGCCTGGCGGCCAAGGAAAATTAGAGGCATCACCCTCCCTTAAGAGCAAATAACCTAACCTGCGGAGAACTGTAATTAATGAGACAAACCACAAAGCAAGCAAGGCTGGAGGAGGGAGGGGAAGAAAAAGGGAGGCTGGAGTACTTGACCTCTTCTTTTAACAAGAGGGGAGGGGAGGGGCTATTCCTGTTCTTCCATCTTTACTGGGGCGGGGGGGGGGGGTGCAAAAGGGCAAAGGAAACCTGATACAGGAGTTCTATGTCAGGTTGTGTTATCTAAGTAGGCTTCCCTTTGTGGGTGCAGAATGTCAGTAGGTATTTCTTTCACAACTGTGACCTTCAGCCCTCCTGAACCCCCTCGAGATAAAAGAGAAGCGGCATCTTCCAGAAATTCAAAAACCACATAGGAAAAGGCGCTCCTTCCCTCAGAGAACAGAGGACTGTATGATTGCCAGATGGAAAGCAGGTGTAAGTTCTCCAAGGCAAGGGTCTCCAACCTTGGCCACTTGAAGCCTGGAGGACTTCAACTCCCAGAGTTCCCCAGCCAGCTTTGCTTGAAGCCTGACTTCAACTCCCAGAGTTGGCTGAGGAATTCTGGGAATTGAAGTCAGGCTTCAAGTGGCCAAGGTTGGAGACTCCTGCTCCAAGGGGTCTCCAACCATGGCAACTTTAAGACTTGTGGACTTCAACTCCCAGAATTCTGGGAGTTGGTCCACAAGTCTTAAAGTTGCCAAGGTTAGAGACCCTGCTCCAAAGTACCTCTTGGCTATGGCTTCTACAAGTTAGTTCTCAACTTACAACAGTTCATTTAGTGACCATTTGAGGTTACAACGGCACTGAAAAAAGTGACTTGCAGCCATTTCAGCATCCCTGTGGCCATGTGATCCAAAGTGCTCAGATGCTTGGCAAGCGAGTCATATTTATGGTGGTTGCAGCGTCACGCATCATGCGAACCCCTGTTGCGACCTTCTGACAAGCAAAAACCAATGGGGGAAGCCAGATTCACTTAACAACTGCAGAGATCAAAGTAACCGCTGTGGCAAGAAACATCGTCACCTGGGGCCAATTTCTCGTAACAACTGTCTCACTTAGCATCAGAAATTTTGGACTCAATTGTGGCCATAAGTCGATGGCTACCTGTGATGTCATTCATTAATATATCTCATTCTCTCAATTAATTTCATTGCATTTGGGTGTAGATCACATGCACAGGTATTTTTTCAAAATACAATCATTTGTTTAGTGATTGTTCAAAATCACAACTACATTGAAAAATCGACATGACTGGTCCTTGTGCTTATTATGACTGTCACACCATTCCCACAGTCATGTGATCAAAATTTGGGGCTTGGAAATTGGCATGTTTTTATGATGGTTGCAGTGTCTT